AGTGGACATTGTCGTAGACGTCTTCTTGAGGTGAGAGGGAATTGTGACAGTTTCGAATGTCGACGTTTCGTTTTTGGGATGATGCGTACGGGGCGTTTCCCTACGGTGAGACTCTTGCGCTGTGATATTACTTGACCAATGTGAGATACGCTCGATACGCAGCTCAATGCACGTCCAACCACTGAAATGCTTCGCGAAAATGGATATCGGGTTCACAGGATGACAAGTGTATGGTAGTTCATGATTCATCTACCAGGCCTATTTGCCCAGCGTACCTGTCCCGCCAGCGGCCTTGAGCCATACCACACGAAAGATGCATGTAATCCGTGAATTCCAACGCCACCCATTTTGCCGACAACGTTGTCCGTTCCGGCGCTTACTTCAGAGGAATGAAACGGGAAGAGTGGGTAGCACCAATACCGGGCCTTCCGTGCTTGACAGGGCGGCTGCACACGTCAGTCAATATGCCGCAACACCGTTGGACATGGGAGACACTCACTATGAGATAGAGAACTCAGCGAGGTAGTGGCCAACCATCTCGGCCTTGATCTCGACCTGGTTGAACTCCTTGCCGCTGTATACGCCGACGACGCTGCCAATCATCTCGGGGACGATAACCATGTCGCGGAGGTGGGTCTTGACCAGCGGGGGCTTCTCGTTCGGGGGAGCGGCGGCCTTTGCGAGGCGGAGCTTCTTGATGAGGCCCATGGGCTTGCGCTTGAGGCCGCGGTTCATGCGGCGACGGACGCGCGCGTGCATGACATCGCGCAGCTCCTCAGAGGACAGGTCGAGGAGCCTGCAAAAATTATGAGCATCGAGTATTGCTGGGTTCGAGGAGCAAGACGTACTGGTCGAGACCAATTCCTCGGTAGGAGTAGGTGCGGAAGGTTCTCTTCTTCTTGATCTCGGCGGCCTCGGCGGCGTTCTAAGCACAGTGTTAGAAAAGAGCTGCGCATCGGCGCAGGGCTTCACGTACGTATTCGGAGTCGGCCATGATGGAGGTTGTTGTCGGGTCGTCGTGCTCGTGGCCTTGGTCGTCGTGGGTTTAGATTTCGGGCACAGGTGTGGGCGCTCAAGCGAAAATTATGTAATGTGCGCTAGCCTGGAGTATCGCCCCGCTCTTGGCAGTCCGCGCGACCAGCCTCGAATAACCTCGGACGCTTGCAGAGTGTTGAGTGCATCAGCTAGCTTCTCTCTATCACCGATGTTTTTATTTTCGGCTTCGATGAGGGAAAGATAAAGAGGCTTGTGTAGCACTATTACTAGCTATATATATGCAGAAAATAAAACTACTTTCATCAAACATCTGAGAGAGATGACCACGGGCGTGTAGCTCAGTGGTAGAGCGCCCGCTCTATGTCCAGGAGTGTGGTCCGAAATCGATTTATGGACCAAGTATTCGATTCCTCGCGCCCGCCACACTGTTGAGTGGTTCCACCCTGTGGTTGAGTGGTTGAGGGTAGGGCGTAGAATCATGGATAATGTAATACTAATAGATTGTGTGGACAAAACTAGTGATGAACCATGGTAGCCATGAAAGCCCTTCACAACCAAGAGAATAAATCAGTGCCAGACTTCTATATAACTGAGAGACTGTCTAGATTAAACCCGATTTACTGTTCATTCCAAGAAACAAACCAGCCCCAGCTGAACAAGCGCAACATGAGAGATTATCGCAAAATGTTTCCACCTCAGGACCGTAGTCCACCTCAATACGTCGACACAAGCACTCCATTAATCCCGCCACGGAACAGCGACAAACGTACCCCGGTAGAGCAGCTTCGACGCTACATCATCGAAATCATGGGCTTCACGTTCGACACCGACTTTACCCTCCTGAATGAGGCGCTCGGCCAGACAGCACTCTGCACCTGCCCAACCAAATCGATCCTAACGCCAGAAGAACGCGCCAAACTGCTCAGCCTAGCCACATTGATCAAAGAGGTCAAGCCGAAAATGACATCAGGCAATGCATGGCTCACCGTGCGCTACGCAGAGCGCGAAGCCATTGCTGAAGCTGTAGTTAGACCTGCGCATTATGTTGGCCTCACGGTGGGTGGGCTACGTATCAAGTGAATCTTGTTCAAAGTCATCTAACTCACTAGTAGGTGGGCTACGTACTCGAGATCATCAGCACATACGCAGTGCACCAGTGCGACCCAAGCAAGCGCGCTCTCTCGTTTATCTCGCAAAAAAAGCCCTACTTCTACACCTTCTGGAAATGCCTTGCCTTCCTTGGCCCGCTCAACATTGTACTAGGATTATATTCCAATGATCTTTGGGCACACGCACACGTAATTGGTGTAACGGTGCCCTGTGAGGAAGTGCGCGCAGTATTAGGGAATGCAATGCAGACATACCAAAAGGAGGTGCTGGGCATCAAGCAGGTATGGCAAATCAAGAAGGTATTTTCAGGTGAGAGTTGGACAGCTCTGGCAGGGGCGTTGATATCGGAGGATGAGGAAGATGTAATCAGATCTGGGAGATGGAGCAGAGAACGGAAGGAAGCGAAAGAGAATGCGAAAGCAGTTGCCAAGGTTGAAGCCGAGCTTCGTTGATGCCTTGTTTAATGACTTGGGCAGCGGTTGCAGTGTTTAGATAGATACATCTCGGAGCCTTGCTTGACGACCTGTAATGGCGTCCACAGTGTTGGATATGTCTTGTTCTTGCTGGGAGCCATGGTTTAGTTCCTCCACAGAAGCAACAATGATGTTAACGAAATTCTTTGTATTTTGCATGAAGACTCGTGGTGACGCCTTTGATTCTGTTGAATACATCTTGCCCTTAGAAAGGTTCGTGAGCTGGTCTTTCCAGATAGGATATGGTACCCACGTGGAAGGTATGGCAGCGACGGACACGCGCCTGCGCATCTCAATCAAACATCAAAACAATGTCTTTTCCCGCTTTCCTTCTCTTCTTCTTTTTTTCTCTTCAGCACACAACACACACACATCCGTACGTATACGCTTTCTCTTCCTCGATTACATCTCCATCTACCATTCCCTTTTTCTTCACCTCAACTTCAACTAGATGCTAATTTGCTTCTCTAGGCCCAATCAACATGGAGCGCCCCCAACCACAAACCCTCACCGGCGCGGTCCTCGGCGCGGTCTTCGGACCTTTTTTTTCGATTTCGACCAAGGTGTTTGGTCTTGTTGTGTGGTTTGTGTGCCTCTTCGAGTGGGGCAGGAAGATGAGGGTGGAGGTGGAGGAGTATGCGGCGAGTTGGGACTACTGGTCCCAGGAGCAGGAGGAGAAGAAGAAGAAGAAGGAGAAGAAGAAGGAGGAGGAGAAGGAGGAGGAGGAGGAGGAGAAGCAGGATCAGCTGATCAAGCTGATCAAAAAGGCGGTGGAGGAGGCGGTGGAGGAGGCGGTGGAGAAGACGAGGTTGGGGGAGGAGGAATGGAGGGCGAAGGTGGAGGAGGGGAGGAGGAGGGGTGTGGAGGAGGGGAGGGCCGCCGAGAGGCTTCGGCTTCTGAGGGTGGTAGGGGGTGACTCTCCCTAGTTGTTTTCTTTTCTTTTTTTCCTTTTCCCTATCTTACCCTTTCCATATCCTACCCTTTCCCTATCTTACCCTTTCCCTATCTTACCCTTTCCCTATCTTACCCTTTCCCTATCTTACCCTTTCCCTATCTTACCCTTTCCCTATCCTACCCTTTCCCTATCTTACCTTAATACTATTATTAAGGGCCTCAATACTCCACCTCCCCGCGGTTTGGCCTGGGGTCGTACTCCCGAAATGAGGGATTCGGGGTACGATGCAAACGGAGTAACTTATCTTCTTCAAAGCTTGATCAGCAACTTTCTCGATCAGCCACTTTCTCGATCAGCAACTTTCTCGATCAGCAACTTTCGCTTCGATTGGCATTTCTGTCTTCTGCTTCAAGTCAACGAACTTCCCCTTCCAGCTTTTGGTTCCATAATCCACCAAATCGCTTTTTCCAAGTCCTTTGGTTCCCTCATCGACCTCGACGTATCCGTCAAATCGATTTTCTCAAAACCACCTCTCTCAGCTTTCAGCTCCTCACCAACTCTCTCACTTGGCTCGATGTACCTACCGTATCGCGGCCTCCAATCCATCATTTCCGGCTTCCAATCTCCTCAACTCTGCCGTCTGGCTCGATATGTCCATCAATTAACCTTATACTCCGGTCCACGAAACCGTTCCGAGTGGCAAATGGGGTGTCTTCTTCTTCTCAATCATGTACATAAGTGGTAGATACCAGATAGCCTGAGGTAGCTGAAGATAGTTGATCACACCAACCGGGTGCCTACATTGCTTGTGACAACGGGAGCTCTGAGCCTTTCATGCTGACTTGTATTCGCCGCAGGGTGCTGTGGCGAGGCCAAAGTAGGCGAGCCTCACAATACAAGAGGTCTGCTACGTGACTTACTAGCCTTGCCGGGTGGCTTTGGGCTGCGCAGAGAAGAAAGGTCGCCGCGCAACTGGCTACGAGCAGCAGAATGGACCTCAAGGTAGAGATGAGCGAAAAAAGAGAACAGGTAATAAAGGAAGGGAGAGCAAGCCAAAAAAATTCCTCCTCGCAGCTTCGCTGTTCGCCGGCCGTCAGCAAGAACCCCAAAAACAGAAACCGAAAAGCTGGTTCCGAAACTTGCCCGGTTTCCGTGACTTCGTTTACCGCGAGCGCAACCATGGCGCGACAAGAGGATCAGGGCCATCGCATCATTACGTCACGTAACTAGCCTTCAGCAACAGGTGTTGCAATAATTATTGAGCGCTCTAATGATAACTAATACTTTGCCAACATAATTCTACTGGAGGAGAATAGATCTCGCAGGGAATATAGGGTGCCAGCTAATCGCGTTAAGTTCAGACTAGCGCTTAATAATTATTGCGACACCTGTTGTCAGAATCCCCATCGATGGCGGCATTGGGCAGGGAACCAGGAGGGATATTGTGGTGCACAGTACCAAAAATTGAGTATATAGATTTATTAAATCGTGATGAAAATATCAAAGAAGCACGCGGAGTGTTAGCGGGGCGTGTAGCTCAGTGGTAGAGCGCCCGCTTTGCATGCGGGAGGTCTAGGGTTCGATCCCCTACCCGTCCATTTTTGGAATTTCACCCAAACCTGGGTCGAGCAAATTTTTGTCCATGTACTTACTGTATGTATATCATTTCAAACTTAAGTATTTACGCCTTCACTGTAGAAGTGACAATAGAGCAAGATCAAAGTCGATGCGAATGCTAGGATTTCGATCCTATACGTAAAAGTAGGGATAGAAAGTAGCAAGGTTTGTGTTTTGGCACCCCGTAGAGTTCTTGCCCAGCGTTTTGTCGCGGCTCACAGAAGCTCGCGAAGAGTCAATAATTGAGAAAGCAGTAAGGTATCAAGTTAGTAAGCGATGATTTTAGATGGTTGAAAGTGTCGAGCCCGCAAGGATAAGTGCATGTTCGAAAAAGCTGCTTAGCAACACGCGCGCTTGCTGACCCGAGCAAGCAAAAGAAATCGCGATCATAAACGATATCAGTGTCATGCAACGAAACCTAGGCATGTAGATCGTGTAGCGCCTTAACTTTTTGACTCCATGCATCCGCGAAAGTAGTAGATTCACACGAGGGAATCTCGTTGCGCATGAACAGAGACATAGTCTAGGCCGTTGCGTTAGTTCAACCGCCATACTTGGTCTATATCACAAAGGTTAAGCTACATGGCTACCATCGCCATTCTTCACAGCGACGTCTTCCGTCTTCTTGAAGACGTCCATGCATTGCTGAGAAGAAAGCTCGAACTTGGGTCCAGTATCCACCGTGCTATCGATGTAGATTGATATTACGCCGCAAAAAGCTACTACTGACCAGTTTGAAGACGTAGCATCAACATCTGCTAATGGTGGCCAGTAGGAGTCCGCTGCGAAGGACACAACTTTCTTCTGGCCTGTCGAAATTCTGAACACCGTGAATAGATACACTCCTTTCTCAACTCAGCAGTAAGCAATATGCCAAACTCAATATTCCAAGTCGAGAGCATGCGCGTAATCTCAGTAGGATCAGTTTTCCTGTCGTTCACAGCTTACATTTACATGTCTCCAATCGCAAACGACGATGACATGTATGTACACAATCAAGATTGAGCAGGTTCAGCTGATCCGAAGTGAACAGCGCCTCGAGTTGACTAAAAAAGAGGAACACCACTGAACCAAACGGAACATGACGGCGATGGCAATCATGCAGACACCCGATTCTTCTTCACGCGTGCAAAGGCTGGTGTTCCAGAAGAATGTAAAGTTGCGACGTCGTTACTCTAAAAAAATTGGTGTTATGGGAGAGCCGCTTTCCAGTTCTAGAGCATGAACCGGAAATGGTCAAAGTCTTTCAGACCCACATTATACCATATCCGTATGATACAATCCACACTATGTCGACTTTTTGTCCCGGATCATGGTCCAGATCTTGATGTCAGGCTTCCGTCCAAACTCTTCTGGCACAGTGATGTTGCGCTCACTCCGAGTTACGAACCCAAACTTCTCATACAAACGGAGACCGTCATTGTTTGATACAACAATCGTCTTTTAGAAGTTAGAACCGGCATGGGGACAGAGTTTGATAGGCTTACGGCAGCGTGTTTGGCGTCGGCGATCTTAAGCCCAGATTCGAGCAAAGCTGAGCCTGCTCCCTTTCGCTGACAATCCGGAGAAATCGCCATCATAGCCAGCCCTGTCCCGATACATGCATTAGTAGTGTTCATCGTGAGACGACATCTGCACCCACCCAAAAGGGGAAGATCGTTCTCTTCCCAGAGCTTGTTCTCGTCCTCTGCAAAAGACCGCTGGAGCGCTTGAGCGTAAGCCTTGTCGTCATCAGTCTCCCACGTTCCGGGTGGGCCGTCGATGTCGTATGGTGGCGGCTTCTGCTGAATGCACAGGTTCCACATGGCACCTCCCACGATCTCGCCAGTCTCAATAATCACCACCTTCTCCCAGAAAACACTGGGTGCGACGCTTTTGATGAAAAGCATCCTCTCAACATTCAACTGGTAGCCTTTCTCCGTTAAAGCTCGAGGGAAAACAGCGTTTATGTACTCATTCTTGCCTCTATAGCATTTGAAAATAATGGAGAGGATTTCCCCGATGTCTGCGTCGTTGGCTGCCTCCACCTTGAATGTCATGGTGCTGAGGTTCTAGCGAGGGAGACGATACAGAGAGAGGGTCAGAAGATCAGTAAGGGTTCGTGGCTAGGTTTAAAGGAGACGCGAGATTAGAAGAGTTATATTAACAGAAGAACGCCCGGTCTGGCATGCAGATTCCTGAGTTTTGCAGTGGCGGTGCCGCGTGACTGCGACCAGGTGAATTTAGACTCTTTCGTAGAATCCCACTGCACACTATTGGCAATGATAGTCGATTCTATGGTGATCATCTCGAATAGAGTCGGGTAGTGATTTTGGCGCTGATGCCGACCTCATGTATCAGTGGCGGTGTAAAGGCTCGCCCGGTTTTCCACACGTACACCTGAGCCGACTGAGCGTTGGCGTCGTCCTAACCGGCGGGGAAGATGAAGTCGAGCTGGCAGGCACCTCGTGCGGTATGTGGGATACCAATGTTGTTGCAATTAATGCTGCCAACTGGCTGAAATGTCTTGGCAGATGAGCTAGCCTTTAAGCGCTTCGTATCACGACACCCAGACACAGCGACAATGAGGATGCGCAACGTCTCAGCATGGCGGACGGCTGCCTTGCTGGTTTTGCTGGCTGGTACAGCACACGCTTCTCTCGGTGATCGGCTGCCAGAGTTCAAGGACTGTCTCAAGGTATGCAATTGCTAATGCTGCTTGCTCGAGGTCCCCGCACAGTGCTAACAGCTACACATAGGTCTGTCGGGAAGCAAACTGCGGTGAGGATGCTACGCCCATACGTACGTGATTCTTGCTGAGCTCGCACTGTCCACGTTACTCATTGTCGCAGCCTTGCACCGGCGTCTTTTGCTCTGGGACTGCCCCGCCGAATGCGACTACTCATGCCAGCACATCGTGACAGACAAGCGCCTCGCACGCGACCCGCCGTACATGCAGCCCGTCTACCAATTCCACGGCAAGTGGCCCTTCTACCGCTTCCTCGGCATGCAAGAGCCCTTCAGCGTCATCTTCTCGCTCTTCAACTACCTGGCCCACAGCTGGGGCATGGCCCAGATCCGGGAAAAGATCCCGCCGTCGTTCGCTCTGCGAAAATACTACATTGCGTTCGGGTACTTTGGGATGGCGAGCTGGACGTTCAGCATGATCTTCCACACCAGAGACTACAACCTTACGGAGAAGCTGGACTACTTTGCAGCGGGCGCGCAGGTGCTTTACGGCATGTACATGGCCGCGATTCGGATTTTCAGACTCGATAGGAGGGAGCCCATAAGGCAGAGCGTGTTGAGGGTGTGGACCACGACGTGCATTATCCTCTACACGTTGCACGTCGCGTACCTCACCTTCTGGAAGTGGGACTACACGTACAACATGGCTGCCAACGTCGCGGTGGGAGTGGTCCAGAACCTCCTATGGAGCGGCTTCAGTTTTACGCAGTATAGGAAGGTGGGGAGAACATGGGCCATGTGGCCCGGTTTCATCGTTGCCTGGATCCTCGTGGCGATGAGCATGGAGCTGCTAGACTTCCCACCTTGGAAGGGCATGCTGGATGCGCATAGCTTGTGGCATCTGGGAACCGTGGTTCCGACGATATGGTGGTACAAGTAGGTCATGGTGCAGCATGAGACTGGCGGATTCTGACAGTACACAGTTTTCTTATCAAAGATGCCCAAGAGGGTCTTGCAGGTACGCGCTTCAAGCAGCAAGAGTAGGGTTATTTGCATGCATGCTAGGCCTTTGATTCGGGGAACATTTGCTCAGAAGATTTCCAGAGGCTAATTCACACGCAGGATCGCGCAAGGATTGAAGCTATAGACCACACTGCTACTGTTGATAGCATCTATCTCTAATCATTCCACATATCCTGCTCACGCTTGCTTGCGACCATGACTATCATGCCCCTGTTTTCGTACATGTTCTTGCCAGATGGAGGAATACACCGTGGGCCGGGCGTGTCTCCACGCATATGACAATATTTCTGCAAATAAACCCCCACCTCGTTGAGCTGTTATAGTGATACTAATGCACAAATGCCGGTTTTAGCCGGCATTCGATACTTCCAAGACTCTATATACAGAACAATACTGAAGATCCAGCGTTCGTGTCAATCAGGCCATATCGTCCAAACATAGCAGGTCGAAATGTGGGGTAGGGATAATCAAGGAATCCGAGGACGTTCCTCGGCGCAATTGACTACCGAATATAGATACACGACTTATCTCATTGTCAGTTTGGCAGAGCAGACTTCGACGAGCTCGTCGCGTGAAAAATGTATCTATATTACCTCATCAAAATCCTACTCTTCGAGCTTCTCCTTCGCCCGGCCTTCTGCGCAAACATCCGCGCCATCTACCTCTTCAAAGACGTCCTCAAATCCAACACCACATCCCTCACAACCTCCAACTTCAACTCGCTTATCATCTTCGGCGTCGGCATCCTAGACGATGGCTCCATCATGTACTACTCCAACACCCCGGGCAGCACCGACGTCAAAGTCGCCTCCAACGGCGCTTATACGGGCGGCGCCGCCCTCGCCGCGAAGATGCAATCCCTCAAAGCCGCCGGCTCCTCCGTCACGCGCCTCGAAATCTCCATGAACAGCCAACACGTCAAGGAGCTAATGGCCAAGCCCGGGCCCGGCACCGGCACACCGCTCTACAAGAACTTCGCCGCGCTGAAGACGGCCTGGGGCCTCGACGCCGTCAACAACGACGACGAGAGCCTCTACGACGTCGCTAGCACCGCGGCCTTCGCGAAGATGCTTGGGGCGGTTGGGTACAAGTACACCGGCGCGCCGTACACGAACGCGGGCTTCTGGAAGGCGCTCATCGCGCAGGCGAACGCAGGCCGAGCAGAACCGGACCTTCTTTTCGACCGTGCGTATCTGCAGTGCTATGACGGTGGCGCGGGGAACGATCCGAGTGCGTGGGCAAGTAGCTTGGGGCTCAAGGTCGTGCCGCTGGTGTGGGTGACGAATGATTC